TGTTGGGTGCTTACCTGGGGGCACCTTCCGTAGGGAGCTTTTTGCAGGGGAGAGGTCGATCCCAGGGACTTTCTCAAGCAGTCATGGGGAGAGCATCTCACAGGAGGTGGGGGAAGCCCCTGGACGGCCCTGGAGCATTGCTCAAGGAAGATGCCGAGGGACGAGCCCCGTGCCAGGAGGCAGCGCAGGAGAGGGGAGCAGTGCACCTGAACAGCTGGGGAGCGTGAGGGTGCAGGGAAGGTGCAGCTCGGACTGGAGGCAGAGCGTGGAGGTTTCTTTTATTGAAAGGAACATACAAAGCAGGGAGTGAGATGCAACTCCAAGACAGTAGATAATAAGCTGGAAGTTTACTGTCCAAACCCTGAACTGAGAGCTGATACATCCAAGACCATAGAGACTAAGCTGGAACCACAGAATCCTAACCCAATAAGAACAGCTCAGAACTCCAAAAACGGGAGTTGTTGTCCAGCAACGGGAGTTCATGTTCCGACTACTAGCTTTTCTTTTCCATTTTACTTTGATGTTTTAGTTCCTGCTTTGGGTTTACTTTCTCATCTTTCTTGCTCTCCTTTTTCTGCTCTTATTTGTAATATCTGGTTTCTAATCACCTCAGGTCTCTACTCTCAAGTGTGTCTAAGGCATGTGATTCTCACAGCCTCTCTTCCCCAGCTCGTCCCAGTCCCTCGTGACAGCATCCCGTACCTCAGACGTGTCAGCCACGCCAGTTAGCTCGCTGTCGTCTGTGAATTTGATCAGGGCGCAGTTTTCCAAGCATCTTTGTGATTTTTTTTCTCTCTAGGCATCTTACTTGTTTGTCTTCTGCTGTTTGTGATTCCTAGTCGTCCTTCTCCTTTCTACAGCCTCTTCCTCCTTAGATTTGTCTTTCCATTCTCTCCTTCTTAGCATCTTGATTGTATTTGTATTTCTTATTTCTAATTCCTATCATTTTCCTTGACGAGTTACTTTTTTACATAGCTTTGTAGCATTTTTATCTTTTTCTATCACTGCCCAGAAAAGAAGAATTTTGACTTCTTACCTGCTGCCTGCTGTTTTGGGGGATGTAGCTGTAGAAAGAGAGAAGGTGTTATGATTCTCATGAAGAGTCGTTTTCTCCATCAGGTCCTTCACCCATCCCAAATATAAGTCAGAGACTGGCAAACCAGGTGCAGGTCCTTCCAGAGCCTTTATACATTCTGGTACTTGGCTTCAAATGCCGAGGCTGAAAGCTTGCAGGAGCTCTGCGCTGGAATTGCCAGTCCGACTCCCAAAATGGAATGCAGAAGAAGATTCCTCCCAGACAAAAGGTGCCAGGAGATAAAGCTCTTGCTGCCCATGGAGTGCCAAGGGGGGGGCAGGTGGAAGGCTGGGAGTGGGCAGGCGTGGGGGGGGTTTGGAAGGGCAAGGTTGTGTGAGGGTGAGGTGGGGGCAGGGCAGAGAGTGAGTGCTGAAAGGGTCAGGTCAGTCTGAACCATGAATACAGAGATCATCACAGGGAGGAGCCACACCTCCCCTAGGACGATACTCCCCCCCACCCCGTCCGGTGGAGGAGGTACGGGGAGGGCGATGTCCCCCATCCTGCGAGTTTGGTCCCAGAAACAGACCCAGAGATCTACATGAACCTACAGACCCAGATCTATATAGATGTATTTGGACCCGGAGATCTCTGTAGGCCTCGGGGTCTATTTCTGAGACCGAACACGCAGGATTTGCCCCCCCCTGGACTGTCCTCCTGGGACCCCTCCTGAAATGCCTGTATTGCAAAGCACGTGGAATGGGAAACCAACAGGAAGATTTAGACAAAGTTGTGCAGTAAGAAGGACAGACTAGCAAGGGGATGCTGCCAGTGCCCAATCCATGGCTGCAAGGATGCCATGGCAGTGCCATATGGGAAGAGCCTCCATGCAGTGCTGGACAAGATCCTCCAGCGGGAAAGGCAGCTGTTCCTGTCTCCAGGGTGCTTTCTGGAGCTGGCTGTGCAGGAGCGAGATGAGGAATATCTCTACGCATCCCTTGCTTCGGGCAAGAGCCTTCATCATTCCCAGAGCCTCCATGAGACCCGCTGGACTCCAGCTTGATAAGCCTCCATAGAGGCTTAGATATCCATAGCTGCAGGTATCAGCAGAGGCCACTCATCCCTGAGGGTGCACATGGCCAGGAAAAGGCTGCAAGTAAGAGTGGGAGCCCAGGCCATTGCAGTCAGGCATTCCCAGGAGCAGGTGGCCCAGCAGGAACCGAGCTCAAGACTCTGGTGCCAATCCAAGATTTCAAGGAAGCTGCAGCAGTTCCATATGAGAAGACCATCCGTATGTTGCTGGAAGAGATCTTGTGGTGACAAAG